CTTGCTTCTCAGCTTCCACACACTGAGTGTCTAGACAGGTCTAGGTGCACAGTAGGGAAACATCTGATTACTTCTAGGGTAATAGAACACCTCAACCATCACTGAACTACTCCAGAAAGGGGAGAAACTTATCTTTGTAAACCTGAATTTAAACCTCTTTCTGTGGATACCACATTGCCAAACACAGTAGTAGAGGAAAAATAGGCATGGAAGTACCTCACAGTAAAGTGAAGCATATGAGCTTACAGTAGCAGAAATCTCCAACAAATTAGTGAAATGTGAATATACCACCAAATTACTGAAAATCAGAGAAGAGAGACTGAAAGTGAGCAGCAGGGAGAAATATGGAGCTGCAATGAGCTAGGCTTATCTCCTCTCATGCTCCTCTGAATTCTCAGTTAAAGCCCTGCACCTCAGCCCAGGTGCACCTATTCTCTAGGATCTGTGAGACCTTTTTCATATTCAGTTCCATTGACAAAAGTATTTGGTGAGGATAAGGGAAACAAAACTGCAGAAGTATTGCAGATCATTTCCTCCCACATACCTCTAACACTCAGTTAATTCAGAATTAACTCCAAGAAAGTAGAAAGTAATATATAATCCATCAATTGACCAGAAAGCACTGCAGAGACACAAGAAATATGTGAAACCAAGAAAATATCTCTCCCCCAAGGGGAAAGAACAACCCTTCATCATCCACAGATAGTACAATGGAACTTGTGGAAATGTCAGATAAAGAATTTAGAATATTCATAATGACAGTGACAAAACTAACAGAGATGCAAGAGAGACAACGAACTCCAGGAGATGCAGGAGAAAAGAGACGATGAGTTCCAGGAGGTGAGGAAGTTCTTCCATGATATAAAAGAGGGAATATACACCATAAAAAAGAATCAAATGGAACTTTTAGAGACGAAGGCTGTGGTACAGGAAATCAAAACCTCCCTTGAAAGTATTAAAAGCAGATTAGATCATGCAGAAGATTGAATCTCAGATGTAGAAGATAGAACCTCTGACCTAGAAAAATTTACCAAAAAGACTGAGAAAATAACCCCCCAAAATGAGAATAATATACGAGTGATTCTAGATACCATTAGATATCCTAACATACAGATCATAGGTATCCCAGAAGGTGAAGAAACTAATAAGGACATTGATAATCTATTCCATGAAATCCTGGAAGAAAACTTTCCAAACCTAGAGAGTCATTCAAATATCCAGATCCAAGAAATACAAAAGACTCCACATAGAATTAACCTGAGATCTTCTCCAAGCCACTTTATAGCCAGATTGACCAAAAGCGTAGACAGAGATGAGATACTAAAATTGGTAAGAGAGAAACATCAAGTTACCTACAAAGGATATCAATAAGGCTAACATGGGACCTCTCATTGGAAACAGTGTGAGCAAGGAAAGATTGTGAAAAGATAGTCAAAGTGTCAAGTGAAAAACAATTTCAACCAAGAATACTATATCTGGCAAGATTATCATATGGCTGTTTTTTAAGTTGTGTAGAATCTTTCTAGCTTGATAAAATCCCTCTTTTCTCTTTTGGGAATTATTGCCTGTGCTTTAAGGGTCTTAAATCTTTGCCCATTCTAATGTCTTTGGAGATGCCTTAGAGTTCCCCTTTAGTTTTTTAGCAGTAGTTACTTTTCTTTTTCCTTTTTAAGTTTTGCCATAGGGTGCTTGCACTTGTTGGACAGACACAGAGAGAGGCAGTGAGAAAAGTGAGAAATCCCCCTACCACCAGCGTGGATGGCCATATGGCAATCTCTTCTCCCTTTTTCTCCTCTTGGGATTTTGGGCACACATGCACATGTACCCAGCATGATTTTCAAGCCAACAGATTTGAGAACCTGGACAGCAGTTGGTCATGTTGGAGTTGAGTGCCACACCACATGCTGACCTATCTACCAGTGGTTTTTTATTTTGAAGTTTTACATGTAATCTTTGATCCATTTTGAATTGATTTTTGTTAATGGTGAGAGATAGGGGTCCAGTTTCATTATTCTGCAGGTGGATATCCAGTTCTTCCAGCACAATTTGTTGAAAAGACTATTTTCTCCACTGCACTGTCTTGTACGCTTTATCAAGTATCAGTTGGCTGTATAATTTCATGCTTATTTTTGGATTCTGTATTATATTTCCTAGATCCAAAGGGTCTACTTTGTGCCAATGCCATGCAGTTTTGATTATCACCACTTTGTAATTATTTTGAAGCAGGGTAGTGAGATGGTTACTACTCTATTCTTTATGCACAATATTGCGTTGTGGACACAAGGTCTTTTATGATTCCAGAAAAATTTTATGTTTGTATTTTTCTATTTCTGTGAAGCATTTCACCAGTAATTTTATCAGAATCCCATTGAATATGTAAATTTAATTGAGTAAAACTGACATTTTGATTATATTGATTCTTACAATCCAAGAGAATAGGGTGTCTTTCCAATTTTTCTATCATACTCTATTTATTTTTTCAGTTTTTCATAGTTTTCTTCATAGAGATCTATCACTTTTTTGGTTAGGTGTATTCCTAGGTATCTTATTGTGGTGTGTGTGTGTGTGTGTGTTGTAAATGAGATTGCTTTCTTCAATTCTGTTTCAATCTGTTCATTGTTAATGTATAAACATGCTATTAATTTTTGTATATCATTTTTCTGTCCTGCTGCTTTACTGAATTTATTTGTCACTTCCAGAAAATTAGTGAATCCCTTTGTATTTTCTATGTATATAGTCATATCATCTAAAATAGTGACAGTTTAGTTCTTCTTTTCCTGTATAAATGCCTTTTATTTTGCACTCTTGTCTAATTGTGTTGTCTAGGACTTCTAGCACTATGCTGAAAAGGAGTGGAGAATGTGGGCAACCTGTCTTGTTCCAGTTTTTAGTGAGAAAAGTTTCAGATTTCCCCCATTCTATATAATACTAACAATGGGTATGTCATATAGAACTTTATATTTACAAAATAATTTTTTACACATAAATAACAGAATTACTAAGCCTTTAGTAATAGGGATCCAAGACACCCTGTTGGGTAGATCCTGTGGGTATTGAATGGACAAATTTCATCTCTTTCCTATAGGTACTAAATAAGACACAAAAGTGTGACAACACATACACGTGCCACAAATGCATTTAATAAGAATGTATCTCATTTGTAATCCTGGACCTTAACTGTGATAGCCAATACTAATGAAGGGGAACTGTACATTCTGTTGTGTTGCTGAACATTTTAAAGAGTTTGTGTTTGTGTGCCAGTAACATAAAGATAATTAGAAAAAAATGTGTTGACCATGAAATTCATAATATCATCCATAGATTACATTAAATATGTATTCTGCTGCTACATTTATATTCCCATTACTGTCATGCACTCCAAGATTCCAGGCAATAATTCCAGTTCTCAAATAAGCTTTCCTGAATTTTTTTTTTTTTTGGAGAGATTTTCACTGTAGGGCGCGTGCGCTCGCCAGACAGACAGAGAGAGACATAGAGACAGAAAGCGAGAAATCACCCCCCAGGGGGGATGGTCACGCCGCAATCCCTTCTCCTCCATTCTCCTCTCGGGATCTTGGGCACGCACGCACACGCACCCGGCGTGAGTTCTAAGCCACCAGGTCCGGGACACAAACCGCGGTCGACTACGTGGGAGTCCAGCGACATAGCCATTACGCTAACTGCTGGTTCCCTCTCTTTCCTGAATTTTTGAAATGAGTTTTGGATCCCTGAGAAGGAGATGAGCATGCAGATGTTTCAAGGTGTCTCTTAGGATTTATATTTGTGGAAGGGTGGGAAGCGAAGGGAAGGGAAGGGAAGGAAAGGGAAAGGGAGGGAAGGGAAGGGAAGGGAAGGGAAGGGAAGGGAAGGGAAGGGAAGAGAAGGGAAGGGAAGGAAGGAAAGAGAAGGGACAGGAAAGGACAAAAGCACTGAGAGAAATTGAAATGGGAATGAGATCTCAGTGGAAGTCTGAGCAGACTCTAAAGGGAGTTCTAAAGATGGGATGACTCATTAGAGAGCTGCAACCCTAGTTGGAGAAAAGAATGTGGTAGTGTTCTGTAACAAAAAGAGTTAATAATCTTGGGCAAAAAATTATAGTCCTCACGACATTACCCGCCTCTGAAGGATTCCCCCCTAATATGGCAGGATGTACTCACCACTGAAGCACTGCCAGTCAGAATGATGCAGATAATCTGTAGGTGTGGAGAAAAGATCCATCGCACATGACTTTGAGTGGAAAATACAGTTTGCCAAACCATGCAAAGGCTGCTGTATTGGCAGAAAGTTTTGATGCAATTTTAAAATATCATAATGTGTACCTGGTATTTCCAAACCTCATTTTCTGCTATTATATTCAACAGTGACTTCATTTTAACTCCTCCTCCTCCCAAATTGTACAAAAAGATTACTTGATTTACCTGAAACTATAACAATTTTCTGGAGAGAACGGCAGGGTTCAGTCATTTGAATTCCATTGAAAGGTAGACCAACATGTATTGTCTGCTTGACAGGTATAAGCAGAATAAAATTACCCAGGACTCAAATAAAAAGGCTTTAAGGAAAAACAATAGCAATGATACTCCATTTTCATTGACAATAGTATCAAGTTTTATTTTGGTACATGGAAATAACAGGGTACAGAAATATCCAGCAAAAGATTACTTGAGGGAGATTGCATTGGGTTTCCATTTCGGATTTATAATACGTGGCCTTTATGTGATGGAGTCGATCTTTCAATTCCTTAAGCATGCTAACTGGATATCCTGAAGACAAAGAGAAGCATGTTGGGAGCAATTTGTTCATTTATCAGGAGATTCACAAAAAAATTATTTGCAGAGAGGGAGCTTGTACAGTAGTTAACATTAAAATAGAGTTGGTAGGAATGAGGATCGCTTATGAGAATCAGAAGATCAATTGTCTGTGCACTCCATATTTTTTGAAAAGAGTCTTCATCTCTACGAAAGGAGGTAATGCTTCTGTGATGTGTTTAAAGCAGAGCTTCAGCAGCAAGGGATGGCACAGCACGTGGGACGAGGGCAGGTGGAGATGACACAGGTTGGGCGATAGCAAGTAGTGTGGCAGCACACTTTGCCACAGACTGGGCGCAGGCAGCAGCCGGGGCAGCAGCAGTTGGAACCACAACCACAGGAGGCACAACCGCTGGAGCTGCTGGAGCCACAACCACCACAACCACAGCAGGAGGGACGGCAGCAGCTGGAGATGCAGCAGGAGGGGCGACAGCAGCAGGAGCCACAACCACTGGAGCCACAGCCTCCACAACCACAGCAGGAAGGGCGGCAGCAGCTGGAGATGCAGCAGCTAGGGCGACAACAGCAGGAACCACAACTGGGCCTACAGCAGCTGGAGCCACAGCAGCAGGGGGAGCAGCAGGGACGGCAGCAGGTGGTCCTGCAGCAGGTGGTCTGGCAGCAGGTGGGCCTGCAGCAGCAGGAGCCACAGCTGGAACCACAACAGGAGTTGACCATGGTGTCAGGTGTTGAAGGATTTGGGTGAGTTTTCAGGAGAGTGAAGTTGTTTGTTTGGTGTCTTCCTGGAGTATGTTCCCCCTTTTATACCCTGAAAAAAGCTTGTTGTCATCACATCTCTCTTTCCTTGTTGTTATTTTCCTCACCAGAAAAATGTAATCACTTAATTACATAATTGTGCTTTTGTTGTTCAACACTCCAAAACAGAGGAAATTTCCTTTCTTGGTGTGCTCCTGTGTGTTCAGTGGAAATGCTTGTACATTTCTCCTTTAGTGTGTGTCGCTTTTTCCCCTGGCCTCTATGGTATCTTTTAAAAACCTTATGATTTAACTCTCTGAGGTACTGTTTTTGGCTGTGACATTTTTTCCTATCTGCACATTTATCCTTGCAAGTAGCCTGGAATAATTTATACAATGTTAATGTATCTTTTGTTGTCAAAGAAGTTCAGATCGGATGAAATGCTAGGAAAAACGATGATAGGAAAACAGTCATGTGAGGAGAGGATGTCCCACGTGTAGTGAGGATGACTGTGATTGCCATGTGGGCATCTGCATATACAGAAAGATTGCCAGACCCCAAGGAATTTCTGAACTCTGTGTCAGGTCTATTTCACAGTCTGAAGTGAAGTACTTAACAATGACTCATTGCTTTCAGAAGTGAAAACACATTTTTTACATATTTAGTCAAGGATATGAATACAAAGTGGGAAGTTTTCATATATCTCCTGATAGATTGATTTCTAGAATGGAGTTTTTGAAGTTCATTTCTGAGAGAGCCATGAAACAGACACGCATTGAAATCTCTCCATGTCACAATCCCACCTCAGCTTTCTAATCAGTCTAGAATTCTGGGTCTAATTTCAATTTTGATTCTGAAAACTGCCTATGTGGTTTCAGAAACACAGAGCCACCAGTACTCTGTGGCTAGGCCTGCACAATGCACTTTTCATGTGCAGAAGTATTTCCTAGGTGAAATGAGTCAGACTAAGAAAGATAAATACTGTATGTCCCTGCTCATATGTATCAAATATCTGTACTCTAAGACAGAAATGGTAAGATTCAAAGACATAAACACAAAGAGGACGAATATAGATATGTAGGTACCAAAAATTGTATAGGAAGTAGATGGATGTTCTGGAGTAGGTTGAGCTATTCAGGAAAAATGAGACACAAGAGACACAAGAATATAAAGTTGGAAATGATCTATACGGTATTTTTTAAAATTTGATTATCCCACGGTGCTTTGACAAAACAATATCGTATGCCATGAAGACGTACAAAAATTATATGTAGATAAGATATAGATTTTAAAAATTTGTAATCAGTAAACAGCATTAAGAATTACTAAGCTTTCAGCAATGTGGACACAAGACATGTTGTTGGTGCCCTGGAATAGAACAGAAAACTCTCATCTCTTTCCTGTAGGTACCTCACATGGCCAACCATGGTTTGAGTCCAAGACCTAGCAGTTTGAGAGTGTGCATGCCTAAAATCCCAGGAGGATAGTGGAGGAGAAGGGGTTGTGGTATGACCATTTCCCCTGGGGGGTGATTTCTCTTCCCTCTATGTCTCTCTCTAGTGAGCCCATGTACCCTATGGCAAAAACAAAAAAACAGAAGTTGTGTTAACACTTTGCAAACTTTCTTTCCCTCTTTCTTTTTAGTATATGTTTAAACATTTTTATAAAGCAAAAGTTACAGAAATTTTTTTCAACAGAGAACTTTACATTCTTTTGTCTGTAAAATGTTTCTTCCCTTTTCCGCCTCCCATCCACTGCCTACCACCCACTCCCTGTAGTAGTATCTACATTTATCCTCTTTACTATCTTATACTTGGATCTTTCCATTTCTGCCATAGAATGCAGAGATTCAGTCCATATTGAGTGGGAATATACACTGTGTTTCTTTCAAAGTCTAGCTAATGCAGCTTGTAGCTTAGCAGTAAGGCCTCAATATTACTCTTTTGTTTTTTTTTTTTTTACTATTACATTCAAGAATGCTTCTGGACTTAATTTCAATTCTTCCCCCCCCGCCCTTTGGTAAAGTTTACAAAATGATTATTCGATTTGCATAAGACTAAAATCATTCTCTGGAGAAAACTAAGCAGTGCTTAATGTCATTTGACTTCTGTTGGAATATGACTCTAGTGTACTGTGCCTGAAAGATGTAGGCAAAATATAATTACCCAGGACCTAAACAAAAAGCTTTATTTTAAAAAAGAATGTAAGAGTAAAAATTACATTCAATTTTTAGAACAGTAAAATTAATTTTATTTTGGTTCATGGAAATAACAAGGTAAACAAAAATTTTCGAATGGAAAAAAAAAAGGCAGAAATTTCATTGGCCTTCACTGCCAGAAGGATTAAAAATCTGTGGCCCTCCATGTGATGGAGGCAATCTTTAAATTCCTTTAAGTATGCTGACTTGAGGTATTGAAGACAGAGGGAGGAGTGTTAGAAGCAATTTGTTAATTTATCAGGAGCTTTGCAGTAGGCTAATTTGAAGAAAGGGAATCATTACAGGAGTTAAAATGTGTAAATAGGATTGATAAGATTGAGGATTGCTTATGAGAGTCAGGAGATCAATTCCCTTGCACACTCCACTTTATTTATTTATTTATTTATTTATTTATTTATTTATTCACATTCAAAGACTATATCATTACAACATACAAAATGAATTTTCCCATCATGAATACACCTTTTTTTGAAAAGAGAGTCTTCATCTCTAGGGTAGGAGGTGAAGCAGTGGTGGTGTGATCGAAGCAGAGCTTCAACAGAAAGGGGTGGCACAGCACATGGGATGAGCACAGGTGGAGATGACACAAGTTGGGTGATAGCAACTGGAGTCTTAGGAGCCTTTGCTGGAGCACAACTACTGCAACTACAGCATGAGAGGCTTTAGCAGCTTAAATGCAGCAGGAGGGTCAACATCAACAGGAACCACAGCAGCTAGGCCTGCTGCAACTGGAGCCACAGCAGCTGGAACCACAGTAGCAGGGGTGGCAGCAAGTGGACACACAGCAGTCAGAATGGCAATACGTGGTCCTGCAGCAAGTGGTCTGGCAGCAGCTTGGGCGAAAACAGCAGGAGCCACAGCAGCTGGGTCTACAACAGTAGAATCCACAACAGTTAGAACCACAGCAGTAGGGGCCAGATCAGCTGAGTCTGCAACAGTGGGAACTCCAGCAGCTGGAACCACAGCAGCAGGAGCGGTAGCAGGTGGTCCTGCAGCAGGTAATTTGGTAGCAGCTGGGCCTGCAGCAGCTGCATTGACAGCAGCTGGAACCAAAACAGCAGCTGACCATGGTGTCAGAAGGTGGAGGTTCTGGATTGGTTTCTAAGAGAGTGAAGTTTCGGTTCATTAGTGTTCCTGGCCCGTATTCCCTTTTTATAGACTGATAATGCCTGTTATCATCATATTATTCTTTTCTTATTGTTATTTATCCCACCAGAAAACTTAACCACTTAAATACTTCATTGTATTTTTCTAGTTAAAAATTCTGATATAGTGTATGTAAGAGTTTTTTTTTTTCCTTTGGCGTGCTTTTGTGTGTCCAGTGGAAATGCTTGTACATTTCTTTAGTGTAGTGTCACTTTTGTCCCTGGCCTATATGATATTTTTTAAAAGCCTCATGACTTGACTCTGAGATTTTCTTTTTCACTGTAACATTTCCTTCTATCTGTACATTGCTCCCTACAAATCACAGATTATAGTTTTCACATGTTAATGTTTCTTTTGCTTTCAAAGAGATTCAGGTGAGGTGAAATGTAGACGAGTGAGGAGACCCATTTAAGGAGAGGAGTGATGGGATGACTGTGATCATATGAGGGCGTCTGGACATGCAGGGAGATAACCATACCCCTAGCAATTTCTGAATTTTGTTTAAGAATTTGGTTTATAGTGTTAGGCTAAAGCACTTAGCAATGACTGTTTTTTTTTTTTTCATATGTTAAAAACGCATTATGATGCGTGTATTGCAGGATAGGCATTAAAAGCAGAAAGTTTTAATGTATCTGCTGATTGTCTTAAATGAACATGGACTTTTTAAAGCTATTTTTAAAATTTTGGTTATTTATTATTATTGTTTTAATTTTCTGTAGGGTATGTGCACTCACCAGAGAGCAAAAGAGAGAGAGCGAGCAAGAGAGGGAAAGTGAGAAAGCAGGCTGTGAAGTTCAGCACTCAAACTGTGGTCAACCTTGTGATAGTCCAAGAATCCCAACCAGCATGACACTGCTGGCTCCACAGTGGAGTTTTTAAATTTTATGTATTCCCTGAAATGAAAAGAAAGAGTCACCCAATGGGGTCTCACCAAGTGCTCCTTCTTAAATCTTTTCAAGCAGTCAGCCTGGCATGTAATACATAACTCAGGTACTGAAGCATGGCCCTTCCCATATGACTGCATTATCACATAGCCATCTGACTCTGGCTGGGCCTGCATCATGAGTTTTTCACATATAGTAGTATTTGCTAAGTGGAATTAGTCTGACTAAGATACAATTGCACTGTATGTCCCCATTTAATATATGCCAAATGTTTGCAGTCTTCATAGGAATATCAAAACATAAAGTTAGAGAGGATGGGTGTAGATACCAGAGACTGTACAGGAAGTGAGTTGATGGTGGAGTGTGGGTGGGGCAGGCTTAGGGAGAGAGCATGTAACAGACACAAATGTCAAGTTCTTTGTTGAAAGAGATGTATATAGGGACCAGCAGATGGCGTAATGGTTATGTCGCTGGACTCCCACATAGTTCACAGAGAATCTAGTCCTGGACTTGGAGGTTTAAAACTCATGCCAGGGGTGTGTGCATGCATGTCCAAAACCCTGAGAGAAGAATGAGGAGATAGGATTGTGGCATGGCCATCCACTCTTGGAGATGATATCCTGCTTTCTGTCTCTCTGTCTCTCTCTGTTTGGCAATTGCACACACTCTATTGCAAAAATTTCTCATAAAAAACAAGAAAGTGATGTATATTGTAATAAATTTGATTTGATTAT